GTTATGAAGCATCCAGACCCCTCAGATCATCTGGAACAGGTTTACTCAGTGTTCCCAGGATCAAAACCAAACAAGGTGAAGCAGCCTTTAGTTTCTATGCTCCCCGACTGTGGAACAAACTTCCAGAATATCTGAGGTCGGCTGAAACTGTCAACTCATTTAAATCAGGGCTTAAAACATTACTATTTACTGCAGCTTACCAGTGAACTAGATATGTAACTTGGATAATCTGTTGCTATTGTTTTTATATTTGTCTGCTGTTGCTTTTGCTTTATGTTTGCTTTTTAAATGCTTTTTCTGCACTGTTTTTAACTATTTATTGTCTTGCTTTTACCTTTTGTTTTTAATGATCTATTGTTTTTAATGTATTTCTCTTGCAAAGCACATTGAATTGCCTTGTGTATGAATGGTGCTATATAAATAAAATTGCCTTGCCTTGCCTTGCCTTGCCTTTGTATCTTGTTTAATCAAAAAGATATGTACTTAAATAGATTTCAGCCTGGCTGTGGCGGCCATGTTGGATTTCTCAATTTTGAGGCATTTTGGGATATTTGAGCTTCATATACAGCAGATTTGGATTCAGCACCCCTTAATACCCCTAGAAAAGTTGTATATTATAAATATTCACAAAATGCCTCCACCACTTTAAAAAAGCACATTTTCAGAAATTCTGCCTAGACTAAGTAAATCAAGGGGGCTTGTCACAACATCTGTCACTCACGATGTGACAACAATGATTGGAAGCTGATTCTAGGAGTATGGGCTGTAAAAAATCAGACCATTTAGATAAATCCTGCGTTTTTGTGACTATTTTAGTGCTGTTGCTGTTATAGGTTCCATCAAAAACAATCAGTTCTAAGGTTTAATAACTAATATTTTAATATTTTCTTTAATAATTTTCTCATTTTTATTGTAAAAGATAGGCAGGGCTTAGCCCTGCAAGCCCATTTATACCAACCATCTCTGGTGGTGACAGTACTCGTGGTTTGTTGTGTAACACATTGTGATGTAAGTACATGAATATGTAAATACATAATAAAAATTTTAACAGGATAACAAAATGTGTGGAAAAAAATCAGCACACCCTAAAACAGCAGGTGCGTAGGAGAGAGGCTGCAACCCCAATATATATAAAAATCAAAAAAGGCTCCCGCACACTGTCTCACTCTCTTATTTTCATTTTATTTAAGCAACGTTTTGGTCGGTCTGACCTTCACCAGGCATTTGCTTAAATAAAATGAAAGTAAGAGAGTCAGGCAGTGTGCGGGTGCCTTTTTTGAACAGGATAACAAACTTTAACATGGATAAAACATGAATTATAAAGGACAGTAAATCATAAAAGAAAACAATTTTTACAAAGACTAAAGTGGTGATTAAACAAAGGAGCTTGTAATTTTGGACTATAACATTTCCTCAAAGATGTGTATACTTTCGTGATGTTTGTAACACTCTGTTACAGACTTGTACTTGAAATTAGGTAATTTGCTGTAACCTGTAGTGTAAGATTTAATCATTGATCAGGTAAATGCTCATATTACATAAGTTGGTTAAGGTTAAAGTCCATATAATAATGTTTTTATGTATCCATGTGTGTCAGAACACTTACAAGTTATGTATTCAGATATTGAGAACACACACACACACACCATACTATGTACTGCCTGAAAGTGTAATAATACACACACACACACATTAAAGTTATATTGCATGAAGGCACAGGGGACCTTATAGTGATAGTCCCCAGGTTTCATATGTTTTTAAAAAACAGAGTTCAAACCTAATGGTGGGAGAGTTTGGGGATTTCCAGGATGAGGTAAAAGGATTACACCATTAAAACATGCCCAGGCATGATCTGGACAAAAGCAAAAAGGCCTGCCACCAATAGGTTTGGGCTCAGGAAGGAAGGGCTAAAGGAAAAAGGGTGGAGATTCTCTCGAATCTTCACCAGCATAAAAGGGAGAGCTCAGAAAGCGAAACTTCAGTCTTGCTCCGGAGCCTGACTCATGAGTTGTATGTGTTGAAGCTTGTGGACTCATTAAACTCGATTGCACCAGATTCTATTTGACTCCAGTGTTTCTCTAAGTGTAGCCAACTGAACCTAAACTACTAAAGTCAGCACAGGGGACGATCTTGAAGAGAAGGTGAAGACGAGGTCAGTTGCCATTTGGCCCAATTCCAGGCACTGATTTTCTCTTCTAAAAGTGGCGAGCCGAGCCAGAAGGGAGGAGAAGTCAGAGCCAGAGACCGGAGCACTGGGCTGCACGCCAGACATACAGGTGGCCACCAAAATAAGGTAAGCAGAGCTTTTTTCTGCCTAAACCGGGTGTGTCTGGGGTGCAGTGCTGGGGCCGCCCAGGTCAAAGGTATTTGGCAAATTTCCCTCCTCTAAAGAACCTAATTATGATGTGCTGATTGATTAGGAAATAATCAAGGGCATCATTGAGATACAACTAACATCACTGGAGACGGTTGAGTCTGGTGCAATAAGTGTGATCTTGGAGCGGAAAGAGTGAATGTGTGTGTGTTGAATGTATGGTAACAAGGTAACAAGAGATAGTTCAAGTATTTAAAGTGTTAAGAAGACAAATAAGAATAAGAAGTGCACAAGAGAAGAAGAAACCTGTAAGAGTTATACAGGGAAGAAAAAAATAACCGGTAAAGAGTTAAAAAGAATACAAGAGAAGAAATACATAAAGCATATCCGTGGTTACTGCTGCCTATCTTACCAGCACCCCTTTAAGCCTGTAGGGGCGGGGATGTTGTGTCGGACGGCAGGTCTGCGCAGGCGGAATGCCAAGAAGATAAGAGAAAAGATATAACAGAGTTAAAGACATAAAAAGCATATCTGTGGATACCGCTGTCAATCTTGCCAACATTCCTTTAAGCTTGTAAGGGCGGGAGCGTTGCGTAGGGAGGACAGGACTCCACAGGCAGAATGCCAAAGAGTTAAGAGAAAAAAGAGAACAGTCAGCAGATCGATTAAAGTGTAAAATTGTACAGTGAATTAACATATTTAAGTGTAACATATAAAGTTGTTGTAAATACAGTAAAATGTTGAATGATAATGTGAGTGTAAAAAGACTGATAAACTACTAGACGACTGACTTAACAGACATAAGTAGGGGGGTGAGAAATAGAGACAGTGGGAAAGATCGGACTAATAAATTAAGTACATAAATTTTACCGTCATAATAATATTTAGAGGAGTAACATTAGAGACTAAATAACGGACACCTAAAATAGATGGAAGAGGGAGACGACAGTGGAGATGAAATTTGGGAAGAAGAACACTGTAGTACAGAGGGTCCTGTAGAATACAGGGGGATACGCACACACTTTTGGCTGGAGAGCACCTACTTAGATAACGAGGGGGCAGAGCATTGGCAGGACGAGCAAGAGATTAAACAAAAACTCTGGCAAATCACTAAATTCACTAATTT